AAGTCAAACTTGCGCACTTTGCTTACGCACTTTGTCCTTAAAGTCAATTTCGTTGCTTTTAGGTTTTATTGTTTTTCAATGTTTTTCATTCAGGTTTTATAGTTTTCCCCCTCTGTCACCCAAGCTCTTTTTTAGACTGCGCAAGGTTCTCGGAAAGTTGTACACGCAGCCACCTGCCAGGTTTCGCAATCGGCAAATTTAAGGAAACACTTCTTACTTTTCAGAGAGATGTTAAGAAGCACAACCCCCATCACAATGTATTTTCTCATGCCTCTACAATCCCCCACACACTACTCATGCCTGAGACATGTCATAAACTCAATGTCTTTTCCACCGCGCCCCAGTGGTTCATGGCTTTCGCATGTAAAGTTTGCAAGTATGCAAGCTCTTTCGAAGCTCATATACCTGGTTTTCAGACTGTACCAAGTCTGAACTCACGATTCGAATCTGACGCTCAAGATCGTGCATCTTGTCCTGGAGCTTCTTACAAACATTGCACTCAGCATCATGCAACACGGGCTTGTCCAGCGGCATGTCTTTCAAGACGCCCAAGTCTGTTTTCTTTCATGTCGTCGTTGCTTTCCTAAGCTGACTGAAAAAGCCTATGGTTTTAAATAAAAGCGAAACCAAACCAGGTCAGAAAACAAGAAACATTTGCCCCTTAATAAGGAACAAGCTTCGAGCTTGCTCATAGAGCTGTTGCAACGCCACCCGTCTCTCTTGGCCAGGTAGAGGCACATCAACATCCAGGTACTTGCTCCGTGCGCGCACACACTGTTTCGACATGGCACCAGCAATGTCGAAAGGATATCAAAGGATGAAGACTTAAACAAGAACCTCTGTTCTGCATGGATTTATTGTTAAAGGATGCCATTAAGTGACGAATCCCAGTTTGCAACAATCCAAGACCAGTAACTTTTGGATTCATGCTGACCTGCTTTTAAGACCAATGCCCCCTTGGTCTTCAAAACAATGGCGGATCACACATTGGGTACAGACAAGAGTACACCCATACCCCCGCCCATTTCAAACCCGGTCGCCTCAAGCTGCGAGCGAGCTCGAAGACCGGAAGTGAACCTGCCGACCAATGTCAGAACAGCAAGCTACCATAATCCCGGCGAGCCAGCGTCCCGGCACAACGGCATAACGGCGCGCCGGCGTACCGGCATACCGGCATACCGGCGTACCGGCCTACCGGCATTCCGGCGTGTCATCCCGCATATCCAGAGCCCGCATCATCGATCGCCCCATCCGCATAGCCCAACTGCTGCTTTCTCAAATCATTTTGAAGGACTAAAATTGGACGGTGACAATGATCAGATTTTCCGTATTATCTCCGCGTCTCCCAGCCTCCTACCGCATATACATTATGCAAAACAGATGGTTCGGTCCTAGTCTGGTCACTGTCCTCACCACCAATTTGTTGCACCCGCATGCTTGCCACACCCGTCATTGTTCATGCGCATTATCGGCAAGCCCACACATCTTTAAGAAAACTATTTGCACGAGCACACTTTTCCCTACTAAATGGTTTTCCTCTGCAAACTTGTCCGCCATATGGCGAGTTGTGATGGTGAGTATGAGTTTTGAGATAGAAAAGACACCTGACTCTTGAAACTACGGGTCGACACGATCATGCGTTTGGGGTTTTTGCGTGGCCGCCGCCCGCCGCCTGGACGATCCTGTGCTCCAGCCGCTAAAGTTCTAGCCTTAACACTGGCACCACGGTTCAAAAACAGCAAGTAGTCAACTCAAAGTGAAATTGACATCGGATCAGGAGCTGCTGCAACTCACACGTCGCATCTCTTTTTGCAAGTGAGTGCGAGTGAGAGACACGAGAAGCGCATTCAGATAATAATCTATGGCAGCCTCAAGGCAACGACGTGTTCAGTTCAATCATACCGACCTGTCCTGTAGTCAGTTATAGGATAGTAGGAGCACGGTGATTTGGGTCGAGATGAGGCTGGATGGAAGTCCGTTGGGGGAGCAAAGAGAGGGCTGGCAGTGGTCATTACTGTTCTCAATGTCGTCTTCAAATTGACATCTACCGAGCAAGCGAAGACACAGGGTTGAACCATAAGTTCACTGGCGCAGGCCAGCGCCTGCAAAGACTTTTTCTGGGCCCCAGCATCCAAGTCCTCATCAGACACGGAAGAACTCTTGCACGCAGGAATCCAACAGTTCCTGGGTGCTTAAGTGAATTTGCAACTCAGCACAACATGGTAAGAGAACGTTTATAGTAGGGCGATATCCATTTTCATCTCACACTGGAATGTTCTAGACCTTCCTAAATTTGCAAGAGATCAAACGCTGCAGCAGTGCCCAATTGATCTTCAGTCCTTCAGCATCCATGGGACTCACGGACCCCCCCGAGCTTCAGCACTGGTTTGACAGTCTGACAGTACAATGGGCAAAGATCGCAGGCCGATGACAAGTCTTCAAAACTCACCCCGAAAAGTGAGTCATTGAAAGCCATCAAACCAAAAACTGTTCGTTTGCTTGATGTCAAAGCTTTTTTTGGGTTGGGCTCCCAAAATCAGGCAGTACGCAGGCATCCATGCGATAACAGATTCATGTCACTTGCGCAACTTAGTAATCGAAAGTTGCTTTAGTTGGTCTCTAGTCGTGACAGGATGCCAGAGCCGGGTCAACCTAGATCAGCCGCATCACTTCGTTCTCAGTCATGTGAATGGGCTTCTTGAGGTAATATAGGGATTTTCCTCAAGTCCCATGGTGAAGATACGGTGCTGATTCCTACGACTTGACAAACCATGAACATGTGAGCTTCAATTCAATGCGGCCAAAGATCGGGGGCTGATCTCCTTGCATTGCGGAGAATTAGGATATGCCCCGCAAAGTGGATAGATCAAACAGACACTGAGACTGACTGACTGACATTTGGTATTTTTGAGCAAAGGTCCTTGGGTTCCTTCACATAGGACACGCGCCACACCTTCACAAGGGGTCTTGCTGCGCTGGGAGCCTCAACGCAAGGAATGGACTGTCAGACGTTGGGGATCACATGGAAAGTGGATGATGGGACAAAGGTTGAAATTTCTCCCCAGATCCTTGATAGGCACATGTTGCTAAGGCTTGTTGTCCGTGAACACCGAGGGAACTTGAGGCCGGTGGTGGTAGTCGGGGGAGTCCATGCATAGTGCATTTGCTGGGCTTAGGCTTGATGAGGAAGACAGCAGGACCTTGCTAGAGGCTTTAGCGTTGACATGTAGGCACCTGGAACTTGGAACCAATGCGTAACATCAACATGTTGATCTAATATCATTTCAAGGGGCCTTCTGCTGATGGCCGTGTCAAATCATGGGAATTCCATGTTACGTCTGTATAATAGCCCTCTTCCTCCATTTCGGATAGCAGTTGTCTGAGCGAGCACTTGTCAGAGTCCACCATGCCTTTTTTTATCAGGCGCCTGGACCTCGAGGACAACCTGATCCTGGTCGCTGGTCCACTTGATCTCGCTGATGTGTCTCAGCTCATCTGCCAGCGAAGGATTATGATTTTGGACCGACTAGTCTGTGATATGAAAGTTGTATGATGATGATTGCCAACTCCACTGTGTTTGAAAGTTCTCAAGGCACTGATCAACTGAACCCACATCGTCCGTGTTTTGACAGCAGCCTATTTTTTGACTCTACTCCAGGACTTCGTAAGGTCCATGTGCCCCTGAACATCTACTATGTGAAAGCTCAGACTGAAGTGACTACCTGCCAGAGCGTCACCCCAGGTCTAAGAAGTTCACCCTCCCACAATGATGCACGGTTCACTGTGACACATTGCAGTGATTTCACTGCAAACCCCATCGCTGTTTGGGTCACGCTAAACAAGGAAGAACCAAACAGCCGTCGATAGAAATTCAATGAACATTATAAATTATAAATTGTGAGATCATTAAATTAGGCTTCAGTCAACAACCATCAAAAGTTTCAGAAAACGAAGTTATACGGGTGTGGTTTTTACGCGTTTTTGTGGTTTGTGATTTTCTGTTTTTTTTGAAAATGTTGGTCGTTTTGAAGAACGTGTCTAGCAAAAATGTCAACTTGTAATCTGTCAGATCTCTCATCAAGCTTTTGCACAAATACTAGCTTTCATGATTTCCACGCAGAAGTCCATCAACCATCATCTATCAGCAAGTCCACGACATCACATCATACATCATCAGGTCATCTCCTCATAGAGGGGAATCTAGTCTCCAAGATCTCCAATCTCAATGAATCCTCAATCTCCAGCAACTGGGCCTGGGCCTGGGCTTCTCCCTGGGGGGGGGGTTGGTTGCCCAATACCGCGAGCATTTTCAAAATTTTTCCGCCTCCCCCCTCCCGGGGAGGAGCCCGGCAGGCCCAGTTGCTGGAGATTGAGGACTCATTGAGATTGGAGGTCTTGGAGATAAGATCCCCCTCATAGAGGTGATGATCTGATGATGTATGATGTGATGTCCTGAACTTGCTGATAGATGATGGTCGATGGACTTCTGTGTGGGAACCATGAGAGCTAGCAGCTAGTATTTTTGCAAAAGCTTGATGAGAGATCTGACAGATCAGAGCCATGCCAATTGGATCACTGCCTATCAGAACATGGAGAAGGAATGGGGGATTCAGGCTCTATGTGGTGAGGGTGAATACCTATACTGTATGGTCTCAATGGTGGAGTGTGGAAGAGTGTCTTGATTTGGAGATGGGCATATAGCTGGAGAGCATAGGAAAATGGAACTTCCAATGTGGATGAAATGAGATGAGATGAGATGAAGCATTGGGTGCATCAAACAGCTGGCATTGGGGTTGTGGCTGTATG